CGCTTTACTCTTTTTTTTCTTCCTTCAAACATTGTTCTCTTGCACGCCTTGTCCTTCAGCAAGGAGCAGGATGGTGTCATTGTTATGGTGTAGAGCCAAATTCATTTTTTTTTTTTTTTGTTTTTGTTTACAGCCATCTGCTGGAACCACACTTGATGACTTATTGCTCTTTAATGTCAGAGTAATGCTCAGTACCCAGCTCCTGTTTCCTTGGCCCTTTTTTGCCCCTCTCCTGTCTTCTTTCTCTTTATGTTGCTTACTACTTTTCTCCCCATGTTGCATTTGCATACTCAAATCAGTCTCAGGCACAATCGTTAAACTGATTTCAAACAACACTGATGACTCAAGTGGTGAAACAAAAAGCGTCGCAGCCAGGAAACCATTGGCACACAAAGTGAGCCACTGACACAGGGTGCTCTCTGAGCAGGTGTTCTGATTAATGCCTAACAAATTGGGGTCCTCTAAGATCCGGACATAAGTGGGAGACACGTCCCCTCTTCACTCGACACATGGACCAACACATAAACACATGCTGACTGAGTCTTTGTTCACGCAAGTATGGAGGCTAATCCACGACAAGAGGGGATACAGGTTCACAGGGAGAAAACACTGGAGTGGATAAAGAGCGGAGGGGTGAAGAAGAGGTGGTGGTCTGTTTGGGGAGCTGTTTTTTTTAAAAAAAACAGCATGTTGGACTTAGAAACAAAAGACATTCTCTCAATGTTTGATTGCTCAGATTCAGCTGCGATAAATTTTCAGATTTGTATTTATTTGTTTACAAGAGGAAGAGTAATCAGTCTTTTCTATTCTTCACAGCAGAATGCTGAATATTATGCCACGATTAAGTTGAACAATACAAACAAGTCATAATAAGATAAAGTGTTACAATCAATAACACATTCAAAGAAAGAAAAAAAAAAGCTTATTTTTGCTGTGGTACTTGACAGGTCCTTTTCCTATGAGGTCAATTTTGTTAATGTCATTACATAGTAAGGGATTTCTGTTTGTTTTTATTAAAAGTTTGACAATGATCCTGAAGCAATCATTACAATCAAATCAAACAGGAAGGCAGGGTAAGAGACGAGATGATAAAAAAGTGCACATCAGATTTGACATATGCACCATAAAATAACCATTAGCAGTTACCTACAATCTGAAGTGACAGTCTATCAATAATGTCACTCTGAAAATGGGACAGGTTTGTTGCTGTGTTTAAATCACCGGAGACTCCATACAGCAGAAAAGCATGCAGATATGGGAAATGCATTAAGGCTTGGTGTTAATAGGAGTGGTGGGAGCAGTGGGACACCCAGGGGTGCAGGAGGACATCGCTTATCTCTCACTGGGTCACTGGCTTAAAGGTACCTTCCTGGTCTGAGGCTCAGTCCCAGAGACAACATTGATAGTTGAACTCAGCTGTTGATGTTATTTGCTTACTTACAATCTGTTCTGATTAAGACTCACATCCCAAATGTGTTTTCTTCTCTGAATTTAGAAATGTATTATTCAACAATTTTTCATGAGATTTATTTGTTTCTGTTGTCTTCTTATTGGTACATAATATATAATGATTAAATATCGTCAGTGCTTACATCTTGTCTTAAAAGATTATCCTTTTTTATTTCTTTTTTATTTTCATTTTTTATCATTATAATTGTAAATACTTTAACCAACAGTTGAGCAGTAATTATATATATATTTTTTTAATATATCCTCATCCATTTTATCTTTAGTATAACCTCTAGACCAAACTCAACTCAATCCCTTTAAGCATACACAAAGCGAACTCTGTCACTTTCAGAGATATGCAAACATGCATGCAAACAAGCAGAAGCAACTGCATTTGCAGAAACACACGCACACACACTGCCTTGCATTCACTAACCAACCCCTTCCTCCCTAATGGGACATTTGTGTACAATCAAACTTCGTGTTGCATATGAATGGAGCTATTAATGAATGGGACATGCACGCAGTGTCTGTCAGCTTTGAAAGCCGAGAGCAGAGCACACTTCTTTTCTATTACCATGTTTAATTTGGAAGCACGTGGAAGCTATAGTATGCCCATCTGCTCCCCACACACACCCCTCCGTCGCCCCATTTCTACCATGTGCTGGCGTAACAGGCAGGCATTGTAGCAACAAGTGTCTGCACATTACCACGCTTGCCAGCTCCCCTCACTTGGCAGCGAGCCTGCTAAGCTGCCCGCCCCCTTATGAGAAAAAGACTTGATTGTGCCAGGGGAGAGAGCTTAGGGGGTAGATCGGGAAGAGGGGCGAGGAGGGGGATTTGATTTACATACTGCAGTTTAGGCAACACTCATCTGATTTTAAACGGCTCCAGAGCAATTAAGGGTCATTAGTCCTTTTGTTTTCTGTTGTGGCACAATGTAGCAGTGGCGGCATCTGAGGCGCAGTGCCCCCTGTGGGGGCTGCCTGTGGGAATGTCAGCACTAACAGGGTCTCTCTCCCCTTCCTCCCCATTCATGTCTCCTACTCTGCCATTGACACAGCTTTCCTCTGTGTGTAAACAAACACTCAGCACCAGCCTGGCACTGCAAGGGAAGCCACTTTGGCAAAGACCCAGCTCTGGAGTATGCAGCTGGTGACGGTGCGGGCTCAGGAGGCACAGGCTGCTTATCCTAATTGTCCTGATCATGGCAGTAGTTTCGTTCATGTGATATAATTTGCAAATTGGCAGCGTTCAATTAAATTTGTTTCTGGCAAAAACATATTTTCACACAGCAGCAGAGTGCGAACAGCAGCAAAGATTCCTTCTGCGTTTTAGCTCTCACTTTAGTTGTACTTGCTCCACACAGTATGAGGGTGTATGTGCTGTAAAGCCATTTGATGTGTTAGATAAATGTAATATCAAAATGCAAATACAATTCACTATTTAGCACAAATTATGAATTTGTTTCTCCACACACATGCTGCAGTCATCTCTTTTTTGCTTGCTTTCATTACGCCGACTGTACACCACTCCAACCAGCAAGTGGGAATAAAATAATTCAAAAACATCTCCCTGAATATAATAGTGTTCTAAAGAGTGGATGTGATCAAGTAGGTATTTTAAATAAGATATAACACAGGAGAATAACATTGCCTCAAGGTCAATTGCGCAACTGTAATGAAGGCTGGGATGTATTCTTCAATATGTTTATGTCTGTATCATCCATTACTCACCTAGCAGGCAGCGGTGTGTTAAGCACCCATGCTAGTGTGAAAAGGCATCAAAGGCAGCAAAAAGACAGGTATGGTATGGCATGTGAATGTTCACATGTCCGTTTGTGTGGCTGTAAGACCCTCCTCAGTTGGTATAGAAAAACACTTACTGCTAATGTAAATAGCAAGGCAGCATAAATCAGCAGCCACGCGCAGCCCGGGAGAATATCGTGTAATAGTTATTGCGAAATGAAGTGGCATTGGGATCAATATCCCACTATATCTCACTCTGGCGTAATGGCGCAGAGGGAAGCTGGAGGCCAAGGGAGTCCGGTCCCTCCACCCCACCGTGGGCCTATAAATCTGCCTGACCTGCAGCTCGCTTATTAAAGTGCATACACAATCGGCAGCAGCCATCCAAAAATACAAGCTTACTTACTGACCTGGAGTCAGGGGAATGGATGCCTTTACCTTGTCTAAGGGCAGGGGTTAAAGGCTGATTGAGGCTATAGCATCATCACACCGTACTGTACAGAGAAACAGGGAAGTGTTGGTTTTAGCTCGGCATTAATAACACTAATAATTCAAAATGAAGTCGGAATGTCAGCACTGCAGGGAATACTGTAGATTAATTTCCCCTCCTGTCATAGTAAACCCACTATGTTTTGTGTTTAATTTTTTTTACACTCTATTTATTAATGAATTAATTTGTATGTTTGTCTTTTATTCATAGCATCTTGAGGCAGAACTTCTGCCAGTGCGAAGCTAGCAATTATGCTAAGCTGTGGCTTATTCACCAAAATTAAACTATGGTCTGTTATTCACTGAGGCATCTGCAGTGTTGTCAGAAATCATTTCATAAGAAATGAAAGGAGAAAAGAAATTATTCTCAAGGTTGTGATTTCAAGGTTGAGATTTTGCCTCACGAAAATTGTCTTTTTTCAACTTTAAGTTTGAATTTTCCAACCACATGGCCACAGCTAGCCTTCTGCTCTTGGTACAGTATGTTGATTTACTTGGTATTATATGTGTTATGTGTTTATGACAATGGGTCATGCATCACTCTCACACTTTTACACTTCGTAAGATAAACAGAATAAGAAAGCGTATTGACATATATTACAAGTGCAATGTCCATAGTAGCAGAGGAGAAAAGGCTGATTTTGAAACATTTTGTATTTGAGTGGGCAGAGTTTTGCAGCGTTTTACAGTGGGCAGCATTCACTATATAAGCATGGTGACAAGAGTCAGTCATTGCTTGAGGTGCAGTGACTTTAGGAGGCCTAACATTTTGTATAACTGAGGAACAATGAGCTAGAGTCTGTTTGTGTTTTTTTTTGTGTGTGTGTGTCTGAGCTGCTAAACGAAAGTGTGTTGAATGACATTAGAATGCAATAGATGTATAAAAGGGGAGTAGTTTTTGATTTACATATATAAATGCAATGCTTTTATGTATTTTATGCATAATAGGTCTGCAGTGTCCTTTTCTTATCCTCAGGTTGTAATATAACTTCATAACAAACAGCACAGAGCCTGAGGACAGAAATGAGTACAAAATAACAATATGATGATAATGGCTGTCTGTGATTTGCCAGATTATTCAGGTTTTATCCATTCATACAGAAGATCTTGTTGCAAGCTTAGTACAGCCTCAGGGCAGGTATTATTGGTCAATAAGATGGATGTTGGCAAAAGGTTATGAATTGTAATTGTAATAAAGCAACACGAACAGCGAGACCTGTGTTTTACTTTTGTTTTCGTCGAGACAATTGTTTGAAGGATATACAGGATGATTGAAGCCTGTGGACAATGATGCATCTCTCTTATATTTTGCAGGACTGTGAGGGAAGCTTTTCCTCCGCTTCACAGTTGGTAAGTGTTTCCTTGAAACTTTTTTTTCCCTCTCATTGTTGTTTCACCACATGTATGAGACTTTAGGGGAAAGACTGTCTTTGAGGAAAGTTTGTATGTTATAGATTTAATCTTTAAACAAAGTCTTGAGAACTTAAACGTTTAAATTATGAGCGACTGTGTTAAGTCTTTACTGAAACATCCATTACATGCACATATACCATCAATTTTAAACCATACCCTATTATTGTAAAAAATAAAAAAAAGACAGTTCTTTTAGGTAATATTTTTGGAATAATTTTTGGGTAGAACAGGTAAATTTGATGATGATGATTAAAAGTAAACTCATTTTCTCCTCTTAATTACATTGTTTTTTCAAACTGCCAGTATTTTACAATCCATTTAATCTTACAATCCATTAATGAGATTATTCTGAAGAACAAATTAATAGATATTTATATAATTTGTCTCAAGGTAGCTTGAGTTAACATATAATCAGAAAGTCTTCATTTAGTTCTTGACCTAATCATGGTATAAATTAATATATTAATCTTTCTCGTTGTCTTTTTAGAAACATGATACGACCTTGGCGTATGAAAAAACATAAAATAAGTCAGTAGAAGCGAGATGTAATTAATGCTAAATAACTTTTTCTTCTGTTTACTTAATACTAATATGAAAATCTGTGCTGCTTTTTACAGCATTTGTTATATTTTTAACGCTATATTTCCACAAGCAGTATTCACATCTCACAGTCACTTGAGGAATAGGAGTAATTAAATAAATAAAGAGGAATTTATCAGGAATTAAACATCAGAGGAGGATGTATTATCAGTGAAGTGTGCAATGATCTAAATCTTAAGAAAATAAGAAATCAAATTAAGCCAGCAGCTTGCCCTCACAGGCTATCTCATGTGCAGTGATGGTTGATTAAATTGTTATATCTCGCTGAAGACTTGTTTATTGACATCTTAGATACACATTCGGCATTTTAAGTTTCTTATGTCAGAGCTGGACTGGATTTAAGGCATGCTGATAATTATATAAATACAAGTCGTTCTTGTGGGATAATTTTATGATGGTTTAATATAACTGACAATTCGAGCAATCCTTTCTAATTAGCTGTTCGTACTGAGCAGATGTACTAATCAACACCACTGATGGTGTTTTATTTTGTTTAATTCAATAAACCACTCAAGTGTAGTTTTATAGCTGTGAAGAACACTTATTGCATGTACATGATCATTTGTTTGATTGCACGCGGGCACAGTGGTTCTTTATGGATATGTACGTGCACATGGATCTGGATAACCATTGCAGAGTCATTTAGCTGTCAGCATCCTCATGTTTGCGCACTGTACTGCAAGTGAACTTGACCTATCATTAGCTTTCTCACACACATACACAGATACACACAGTGAACACCTCTTCTTCAACTTGTCACTGCCCTGACCTTGAACCTATGGGGTTAGCAGTTCAGAGGTCAAAGGTGAAGACAGTCTGGTTCTGTAGATTACAGCAGTGGCTGATTTTCGAATGGTACTTCAAGAGAGCACGCAAGGGTTTGAATGAGCTCGGCCCAGACAAGAATACATTACAAAGCAGTTTTTACCACAGGTGATACCCTTAACAAGATCTGATGTGTGGAAATCACATGTAAATGTGCACCGCAGACTGACCTTTGCCCTCTGTGTGTGAGGATCTGTGACCAGCGGCTAACCCGTAATCCTCTCCTAAATGGTTTGACAATAGAGAGACGTATTGATCTGGTCAGTCTTCTGGCGAAGGGGTCAAGGGCCTGACACGCAGTCCGAGTCTGCCTTGTGTCTGCAGGTAAAGTGGCGTTACCATTACTGGGGCTCCGTTTGTCTCTCCACCACCTGTAGTCACATGCTAGCCTATGTGTGAATTAGGCTTCTGTTTCAATTCCCGGGACAGACCAGCTTTGTACGTCTGCTCCCACGTCACTTGCTTCGCTACGTTAATGAGGATTACAATGAGGCTATGTGTAACCAAAAAAAAGAAAAAATAACACATTAGAGGTTGTATGACAGGCTCAGGAAATAGCTTCTTTTTCTCTTTAAGACAGCACAAATTGCTTAAAGTAAAGCTTATGCCTGAAAGCTTTGGTAACCTACACCATCTAACCCCCCCTTCCAACACCAACACCAAAAAATAACACATGTCTGCAAGCTCCCTCTCTGAGCCCCCAGCTTTCCCCACTGCGCCTGGGCGGCTGCTCTCCTCTGGGCTCACCCAGAGAGGGCTGGCCAGCTCCCACATCTGGCCAGACAGAAGAACAGAGAAAACACAAGGAAATTCTCCTGCCGACCACTAGTTCTCCCTCTTGCATACATAAGCCTTCCCTTTCTCTCTCTCTCGGATTCTTTCGGAGTGACCGGTGATAGAGCAACATCTGGAAGGAGCAGCAGTTTTCTTTCCTTGTGTTTTTTTGGGGAGATCTAGGCCCCCGATAATCCGTCTCCCTACTCATTAAAGGAGCTGAATAAACACAGGCCTCTTCCAGTTGTTCCTATGAATTTCCTCACCAGGCGTCAGGAGACCCAAGCAGGGGCTACTGGATCAAAGCTGCCGGCAGCCCCATGTGTGCCGAGAGTGAGAGTGCGTTCCGGGGTTGGGCCCATTACCTTTCTCCCTGGGAGCCTCGGAGGCCCCTAGGTCACTGGCTGTCAGCTCTTTGGCCCGAGCTCAGCAGAGGAAGAAGAGGAGGAGGAAAAGGGAAAGGAAAGGAAAAGATATGAAAGGAAAGGAAAAGATAGGAAGAGAAAGTTGACCAGAGGAGATCGAAATAGTGCATGAGAGAAGATGTCAAGACAGAACATGAGAGGACAGGAGAAAAGTGGATGGAAACAGGCTTGCTGGTACATGAAAGAGAGCTGTGAAGTTTCAGAGGGTAGTCTTTAGGTACACGTTTGACTCAAATGACCTTACACTTGACTCTTTTTCTCTTGTTTGAGGGAAAGCTTTTGGTTTCTGTTTGTGTTATTTGTGTAAAAACAGATGTGACCACATTTAACCATCTGTGTTAGGCAGCTGGACTATTATGCTGTGAATTAGCTCAAAAAAATCTGCAAAACAAAATGTTATTTATGTGTAAACACCTAGTTGCAGGTAACAGAGTGATCACGCTGTGTTAGTTGGTGTGTGTGCCACTCCAATGCACTGACCCTGGTGTGACATTAATTTTCTAATTCCCTGCACTTCCTGGCAATCAACTTAGAGGGGCAGTGGTTCGCTGGAAAAGTTTGCAGCGGAGGCAATTAAAGGCAGAAATCTGAGCAGCAGCAGCAACAACAGCAGCGGCGAAATCAACGCAGGCAGAGGAGGATGATGCCTCGTGCTCTAATTGTTACTTTCTTACTTAGAAAGATGATAAAATTTATCATGTTGCATCACTTGTACAATGAGGGAAGGAAAAAAAAAAATCACCAATATTAAATGGTCAATGTAATTAACTTACCTGGCTACCAGCTGCATGATGCAGGGTGCAGATGTGGCTGGAAATGACCATAGTGTTTGTGTTTTTATGTGCATGTGTGTGTGTGCTTAAGAGTGTGTGTGTGTGTGTGTGTGTGTACAAATGGCCCTGTGGTCGTCATCAGGCTCCCATCAGCCCCTCCATTAGTTACTGAGCTGTGGGTCCGTGCTGGAGCCTACCTGCCCTGAATACAAATTAGGAGAGGAGAGTATGGGCAGCAAGCACAATGAAGACAAGCACACATGCGTGCACACAGTCACAAAAGGTAGCATTAACATATTATCTACTTTGACATACAGTGACATATTTTGACACACACTCATAATCAAAGTAATTGCATTTTACACACCTAAAAGAGTGAGATGTTGCATCACATGCACGGAATAATATTCCAATCATTAAAAACCTTTCTGTATATTTCCTCCGGCTGATAAAAGCATACATGTCTGATTACTGCCTATCACTGGACACTGACACACCGACGCCTGTGGAGAGCACTTCATCTGGCGCAGGCAGATCATAGCTTACACATTCTGAAATAACGTCACACACAGCAGAGTACACACACTGGTAGCCCAGCACAAAGGCAAATATGGTTGCATACTTCTCTTCTCCTTCTGGAGCCGCAGACTCACGTGCTCGTGACAGGAAATCTGCAGGCAGTCATTACACCGAGCCAAGCAAACACGCAGCCGCCGTGCTCACTGATAATGTTTTCACATGTGCCGCTGCTATGTTGGAGGCATGGGCACACGCGTGTGTGTGTACAGATACACAAACACAGCTTGAAAATGTAGTGATAAAATTTATGTGGCAGACAATCAATGTAAAGGGAATGTTTAAAATAAAGCCGTGTTTTTTTGTTTTTGTTTTTGTTTTTAACTCAATTCAGTTTAGTGAGAAACACTTTTTGTCAATTTAATTTTGGTTTTGTACAAATCACTGAATATTTTAAAACTGCAGATGATTGCATCACAGCCTTCAAAGAAAATGTCTTAAAATAGCCACAAACCTAAGTATGATAAAATATTAAAACTGAGAGGATGACGGTGTTTTTCACCTGTAAAGTGAGGGCAGAGGAACAAGGTGAGGCCCTAGAAACCTCGTCAGCAATGATGCTAATGTTTAGAGGGATGTCAGAAAAAAGAAAGAAGAGGGTGTCCGGGTTGAGTTCAAGGCCAAAGACCAGGGCACTGCCTTGGAGTTCAAGCAGGAGCTGTAGGGCACGAGGGCTGGGGGAAGGGGAGAGGGTGTGTGATGGCTTCTGTGTGTCCCTCCGGCAGCGCAATGGGACCCTTGGGAGACCTGGGTCAGGAGGCCTCCCTCCAGCCCCCCCGCATTACTGTGCCATTTAAAGCCACCCAGCATCTATTTCCTCCAATAAAAACTAATAACCTTTTCTGTCGGAAATCACGGCAGCTCTTGACTGCTGGAGCAGAGGCCTGGCTGGATGGCCTGTAATTGCGGTCCAGAAGTCCCCCTTAAGTTTATTTTTTGCAGTGTTTTGGATTTGATTTTTTTT